CCCTTCCCTCTGTCGCCGCTGACCTCCGGCAGGGCCTTACAAGGGCACCGTTCCCCGGGGGAGAGGAGGAGGGTTCTACGTTCCTTGTCCGACTGCCAAGAATAAGGGCAGTGGAGGAGTCCAAAAAACTCAGACGGCGGAGGCCTGATTTGGCACGGCAGGCCAGGGAGGTCCAAGCACCGGCCTGGAGCTTTCGCACTCAAGCCGTCCGGCACGGCCTCTCCTGTCAAGCGGGCTCGTGGCCACGGAGCAGGTGGAACGACTCCGCACGGGTGGCCAGCAGCTCACTTTGCACAAGGCACTGTGGAAGGGCAAAGTCCGGCAGGAAAGGGCTCCCTCCCCCTCCACAAGCTGGAGTCACATTTCAGTCAAGCAGACAAAGAAGGGGACTGTTCAACAGGCCTGGGTGGAGGATATAGGGTTGCCAACTTCCACGTGGCACTTCCTTCTGGGGGCACATCATCCTCTGACCCCCTAAAGCAGCCCACACCTATTTCTTAGCTTGTCAAGAAGATTGGATTTATACCCGGCCCTTCACTACCCGAAGGCGTCTCAAAGTGGCTGACAATCTTCTTTCCCTTCCCCTCCCCACAACAGACACCCTGTGAGCAATACTCCCTCTAAGTTGTGAAGTCTTGAGAGCAAAAATTCTACTCTGTGAGCTTCTGGTCTTAAAGTTGTGAGTGACCGATTTGGCTGTTGTGTCAATTCGTTTGCTCTGGAGCCGTCCTTCCTGAGCGAAGACAAAAATGTGCGAGCTGGAGGCGAAGAAACGGTGAGCCAGCTCACACTAACTCAGCTTAGAGGGAATACTGCCTGTGAGGCAGGTGGGGCTGAGAGAGCTCTTTCCAGGACTGCTCCTGAGGGAACAGCTCTGAGAGAACTTGTGACTGACCCAAGGTCACCCCAGCAGCTGCATGTGGAGAAGGGGAGACTGGATTTATACTCCATAGCCCTTCACTACCTGAAGGAGTCTCAAAGTGGCTGACCATCTCCTTTCCCTTCCCCTCCCCGCAACAGACACCCTCTGAGCAATGCTCCCTCTAAGCCGTGGAGTCTTGAGAGCAAAAAACCCCAAAAAACTACTTTGTGAGCTTCTGGCCTTAAAGTTGAGAGTGAGCGATTTGGCTGCTGTGTCAGTTCGTTTGCTCTGGAGCCGTCCTTCCTGAGCGAAGACAAAAATGTGCGAGCCGGAGGCGAAGAAACGGTGAGCTAGCTCACACTAACTCAGCTTAGAGGGAACACTGCCTGTGAGGCAGGTGGGGCTGAGAGAGCTCTTTCTGGTACTGCTCCTGAGGGAACAGCTCTGAGAGAACTTGTGACTGACCCAAGGTCACCCCAGCAGCTGCATGTGGAGAAGAGGAGACTGGATTTATACCCCATGGCCCTTCACTACCCGAAGGAGTCTCAAAGTGGCTGACCGTCTCCTTTCCCTTCCCCTCTCCACAATAGACACCTGCTGAGCAATGCTCCCTCTAAGCCGTGGAGTCTTGAGATCCAAAAATAAAAAATACATCTACTTTGTGAGCTTCTGGCCTTAAAGTTGCGAGTGAGCGATTTGGCTGCTGTGTCAATTCGTTTGCTCTGGAGCCGTCCTTCCTGAGCGAAGACCAAAATGTGCGAGCCGGAGGCTAAGAAACGGTGAGCTAGCTCACACTAACTCAGCTTAGAGGGAACACTGCCTGTGAGGCAGGTGGGGCTGAGAGAGCTCTTTCCAGGACTGCTCCTGAGGGAACAGCTCTGAGAGAACTTGTGACTGACCCAAGGTCACACCAGAAGCTGCATGTGGAGAAGTGGGGAATCGCATACAATCTTTTTCGAGGACAGTGATATACATGCAAGACATAAGGTGCAATAAACCCTCTTTGTGAGCGGCTGCCTGATAGAACCTGAGAGATGTGTTCTCCTAGACAAGCTATTATGTTTGCCGCAAGGATTCCGACGGGACCCTAGAAAAACACTGCTGTTTTAAAAGTCTTGTACTCACAAAGAGGATTTATTGCGCCTTATGTCTTGTATGTATATCACTGTCCTCGAAAAAGACTGTGTTAGATATGGGTAAATTACTAGAGGGCCACGGTGGCTCAGAAGCTAAGACGCTGAGCTGCAGACCAGAAGGTCTGTAGTACGGCAGTTCGAGACCGGAGTGCTGCATGACGGAGTGAGCTCCCATCTCTGGGCCCAGCTCCTGCCAATCTAGCAGTTCGAAAGCGAGAAATTGCAAGTAGATAAATAGGTACCACTTCGGTGGGAAGGTAACAGCGTTCCGTGCGCCTCGGCATTTAGTCATGCCGGCCACATGACCACGGAAACGTCTTCGGACAGCGCTGGCTCTTCGGCTTTGAAATGGAGATGAGCACCGCAACCCTAGAGTTGGATTCAACTGGCTTTCGAGCAAGGGAAACCTTTACCTTTACTTTAAATTACTAGAGTACCGTGGGACTAGTGATTGTGAAACCGACAAGGTGCTGTTTGAATGTTTGAACGTAGTGTAAAGCTGCACTCTGATGTATTGTTGTGGTGAATCTATGTTTTGAAATACTTCCCATCTGGAGTTTGGCAACCCTAACACATAACCCTGTTTCTCCTTTCTTGCCTCCCGACTGTTTTGACATACAGAGAATCTCGTTTCACATTCTTCCTTCTGAAAAGACTTCACGGTGGAAGCAGCCGATTGGCAGCCCGTCAGCCGGGCTGTGACCCTGGAGAGCCAGTGTGGTGTCGTGGTTGGAGCGGCTGAATAGGACCCTGGGAGACCTAGGTTCGAATCCCTGCTTCGACTATGGCAGCTTGCTGGGTGACTTTGGGCCCGTCACCAACTCTCAGCCTGGCCTACCTCGCAGGGAGTCTGTTGTGGGGAGGGGAAGGGAAAGGAGATTGTAAGCCGCTCTGAGACCCCAAGTGAAGGGCAGGGTATAAATCCAATCTCCTCCTCCTCCTCCTCCTCTTCTTCTATTTGAGCCTAGGCCCCTTTGGAATTCTGACACTCAGTGGTGGGTGGGTGCAACTGCAAAATGGTTGCCGTGGGAGGCGGAGCCAACCGCAAAATGGCGGCTGCAGGAGGCGGAGACACACAGACGAAGCCCAAGTCCAGGGGATTAGTAATTGAAAAAAATACACGGGGAAAGAGGCCTGTGAGAGAGAATAAAACCAACAGTCTTGACAGCTGCTGCCTAAACGATATTATTTTAATCTGCACGGACAATCAGCTTTCCAGTGGCCAATCAGAAGCCCTGCCGGGCAAGAGAGACCAACTGGCACAGCCCATTTTCTAAAACAGGCTCAGTGGGTAACAGGAAAGGCGCCGGCGATTGCCATGGCGCCCACGGGCACCCTGTTGGGGATCCCTGGTTCTATGTGTCGTTCTGTGCTCTGGCGCACACGCCCCCTATCGACCAGGACGGGAAGAGCTGCCTGCTCAACAGTGCTGCCGGCTATATTGCGGAGGCTGGCCACCTCTGGCTCCGGGCAACAAGGTACCCCTCCTGAGATTGCAGAAGCATTCATCGGGTTGCCAGGGGTCATTTCGTGGAGAAAGAGGTGCAGGAGCTCATTAGCATAGCTCATTTGCATATGCCACCACCACCCCTGACGTCACCGGAAGTGTGCCAGAAGGCAACGCCCACCGCTCAGGCTCCACTGGACTGTTTTGGATTGCTAGCTATTGGGGGGGGGGGGAGGGAATGTGCAGATCTGTACTGGCAGAGGAGGGAGAGCTTGTACCTGAATAAAACTCGGTCTTAAAGGTGCCACTGGACTGTTTTGGACTGGGGGGGCTAGAGGGGGGGGATCTGCAACTTATCTGTCGGCTTCTTGCTCTGACAGGGCTGCTGGGAGCAGGGGGCGGGGCTTGTTGCATGGGCCCGCCCCCTGGGCTCTTTACTGCCGGAGCTCCGCTCCTGTGCGCTCCTGCAGGAAATGACCCCTGCTTGCTTGCAATTTCTTGTTTTTGAACTGCTAGGTTGGCAGGAGCCGGGGCCGAAGATGGGAGCTCACTCGGGTCTCGAACTCGGGTCTCGAACTGCCGAACTACCGGCCTTCCGGTCTGCAGCTCGGCGTCTTCACCACTTGAGCCACTGCAGCTACCTCGCTCCTATTCCTCCTGGCGAAAAGCTTGGTGTCAGGTTGCCAGCTCCGGGTTGGGGAATACCTGGAGAGAGGAGGCTGGGGTTTGGGGAGGGGAAATTGCTCAGCAGGGTACGATGTCAGAGAGTCCACTTTCTAGGCCAGGGGTGCTGGCTAGGCCTGGGGTGTCAAACTCATTTACTACGAGGGCCGGATCTGACATAAATGAGACCTTGTCGGGCCGGGCCGTGTGTGTCATAAAACGTAATGCCAGGTAGCGGAGATACAAACTTTATAAAGGACACAACCACACACAAAGATTTTTTTTAACTTAAAATAAAAACATGCTTCAAACATTAGCTCTGTAAGCTGCAAACCTACTTTTGATTTATCGACATTCACCACAGAAATCTCACGCTCAGAGTTCTGAGTCTAGGACCCAGGTTAAAATGTGAAATGGCTGAGCGACTGAGTCTGGGGAAGCGAGCGATGACGCAGCAGCAGCAGAACTGGAAGCGGGAGACGGCCAGCTCCACTGCGGGCCTGATGGAAGCCCTCAGGGGAGGGGGGCCTGATGCAGCCCCTGGGCGGCATGTTTGACACCCCTGCTCTAGGCAGATCCTGCACTGAGCCGGGGGTTGGACTAGATGTCCGGTGTGCCCCCTTCCAGTTCCGTGACTCTAGGATTCTATTCTATGAGATCTCCATCCAACACCTGGAGGCTGGCAACCGTAGCTTGGTGGACCTTGAACGTCTGCAGGGGCCTACCTTGGCAGACAAACACAATTGCTCTCGGGAGGATGTGAGAATCCGTGGAAGGGGGGGGGGGCATGGGGGCAGTTGAGGGTGTCACAGGTGGCCGACGCCGGCCGCCTCCCTTCCTGCAGAGAAACGAAAGTGGTTCCGCTCCTTTAACCCCAGTCGTGCATCTGCCTCTTCTTCTGCGGCCAGCATCTCTACGCCATGGCAGGTATTTATCTCATTTATGAACAGAGGATTCCTTAGCCACCCTTACGCCCATTCGGGTCCCCCATTCCAACCATTAGGGCCAGTTTGGTGCCGTGGTGAAGTGTGCGGACTCTAATCTGGGAGCACCGGGTTTGATTTCCCCCACTCCTCCGCTTGCAGCTGCCGGATGACCTTGGGCAAGCCGTAGCTCTGTCAGAGCTGTTCTTGGGAAAAAAGCAGTTTGTGTCAGAGCTCTCTCGGCCCCACCCGCCTCACAGGGTGTCTGTTGTGGGGAGGGGAAGGGAAAGGACTCTGTAAGCCACTCTGAGACTCCTTTTGGGTAGTGAAGGATGGAATATAAATCCAATCTCTTCTACTAATAAATATTTATTCGTTCGTTTACATCATTTATACCTCACTGTTCTCCCCAGTGGGGACCCAGAGTGGCTCTCATGTTTGGTGTCGTGGTTAAGTGCGCAGACTCTAATCTGGGAACACCGGGTTTGATTCCCCACTCCTCCACTTGCAGCTGCTGGATGACCTTGGGCAAGCCGTAGCTTTGTCAGAGCTGTTCTTGGAAAAAGAGCAGTTTCTGTCAAAGCTCTCTCAGCCCCACCTGCCTCACAGGGTGTCTGTTGTGGGGAGGGGGAAGGGAAAGGGAAAGGGAAAGGAGTTTGTCAGCTGCTCTGAGACACCTTTGGGTAGTGAAGGGCGGGGTATAAATCCAATCTCCTCCTCCTCTTCTCCTTCTTTTTCTCCTTCTTCCTCTCCTTCTTCTTCTCCTCCTCCTTCTTCTCCTTCTTCTTCTCCTCCTCCTCCTCCTCCTTTCTTCTTCTTCTTCTTCTCCTTCTTCTAAAACCTGGCCCACGAACATGAGGCACACCAGGCCCCAGGGCCCCTTATGAACGCAGGCTGGGCAGCGAAATGGGTGGCTTACAGAATGAAGCGTGGATAGAGAGGTCTTCGTCCTCCTCTCTCACAATACTAGATCTAGGGACCACCCAGTTGAATTGATGGGCTGAAGACTGGGGAACTGGATAGCCAGGCTAGCTAAGCTAAGCAGGGTCGGCTCTGGTGAGTCCTTGGATGGGAGACCGCCGAGGAACTCCAGGGTCGCTACGCAGAGGCAGGCGATGGCAGACCACCTCCGTTTGTCTCTGGACCTGACCTGGATGGCCCAGGCTAGCCCGATCTCATCAGAACTCAGAAGCTAAGCAGGGTCGGCCCTGGTTAGAACTTGGATAGGAGACCACCAAGGAAGTCCAGGGTTGCTATGCAGAGGAAAGCAATGGCAAACCTGCTCCGTTTGTCTCTGGACCTGATCTGGATGGCCCAGGCTAGCCCGATCTCATCAGAACTCAGAAGCTAAGCAGGGTCGGCCCTGGTTAGAACTTGGATAGGAGACCACCAAGGAAGTCCAGGGTTGCTATGCAGAGGAAAGCAATGGCAAACCTGCTCCGTTTGTCTCTGGACCTGATCTGGATGGCCCAGGCTAGCCCGATCTCATCAGAACTCAGAAGCTAAGCAGGGTCGGCCCTGGTTAGAACTTGGATAGGAGACCACCAAGGAAGTCCAGGGTTGCTATGCAGAGGAAAGCAATGGCAAACCTGCTCCGTTTGTCTCTGGACCTGATCTGGATGGCCCAGGCTAGCCCGATCTCATCAGAACTCAGAAGCTAAGCAGGGTCGGCCCTGGTTAGAACTTGGATAGGAGACCACCAAGGAAGTCCAGGGTTGCTATGCAGAGGAAAGCAATGGCAAACCTGCTCCGTTTGTCTCTGGACCTGATCTGGATGGCCCAGGCTAGCCCGATCTCATCAGAACTCAGAAGCTAAGCAGGGTCGGCCCTGGTTAGAACTTGGATAGGAGACCACCAAGGAAGTCCAGGGTTGCTATGCAGAGGAAAGCAATGGCAAACCTGCTCCGTTTGTCTCTGGACCTGATCTGGATGGCCCAGGCTAGCCCGATCTCATCAGAACTCAGAAGCTAAGCAGGGTCGGCCCTGGTTAGAACTTGGATAGGAGACCACCAAGGAAGTCCAGGGTTGCTATGCAGAGGAAAGCAATGGCAAACCTGCTCCGTTTGTCTCTGGACCTGATCTGGATGGCCCAGGCTAGCCCGATCTCATCAGAACTCAGAAGCTAAGCAGGGTCGGCCCTGGTTAGAACTTGGATAGGAGACCACCAAGGAAGTCCAGGGTTGCTATGCAGAGGAAAGCAATGGCAAACCTGCTCCGTTTGTCTCTGGACCTGATCTGGATGGCCCAGGCTAGCCCGATCTCATCAGAACTCAGAAGCTAAGCAGGGTCGGCCCTGGTTAGAACTTGGATAGGAGACCACCAAGGAAGTCCAGGGTTGCTATGCAGAGGAAAGCAATGGCAAACCTGCTCCGTTTGTCTCTGGACCTGATCTGGATGGCCCAGGCTAGCCCGATCTCATCAGAACTCAGAAGCTAAGCAGGGTCGGCCCTGGTTAGAACTTGGATAGGAGACCACCAAGGAAGTCCAGGGTTGCTATGCAGAGGAAAGCAATGGCAAACCTGCTCCGTTTGTCTCTGGACCTGATCTGGATGGCCCAGGCTAGCCCGATCTCATCAGAACTCAGAAGCTAAGCAGGGTCGGCCCTGGTTAGAACTTGGATAGGAGACCACCAAGGAAGTCCAGGGTTGCTATGCAGAGGAAAGCAATGGCAAACCTGCTCCGTTTGTCTCTGGACCTGATCTGGATGGCCCAGGCTAGCCCGATCTCATCAGAACTCAGAAGCTAAGCAGGGTCGGCCCTGGTTAGAACTTGGATAGGAGACCACCAAGGAAGTCCAGGGTTGCTATGCAGAGGAAAGCAATGGCAAACCTGCTCCGTTTGTCTCTGGACCTGATCTGGATGGCCCAGGCTAGCCCGATCTCATCAGAACTCAGAAGCTAAGCAGGGTCGGCCCTGGTTAGAACTTGGATAGGAGACCACCAAGGAAGTCCAGGGTTGCTATGCAGAGCCACCTTGGTTCATCTGCCCTCACCTGGGTGGCCCAGGCTAGCCTGGTATCATCAGATCTCTGGAGCTAAGCAGGGTCGGCTCTGGTGAGTCCTTGGATGGGTGACCACCAAAGGAAGACCAGGGTTGCTACACAGAGGCAGGGGATGGCAAACCACCTCCGTTTGTCTCTGGACCTGACCTGGATGGCCCAGGCCGGCCCGATCTCATCAGAACTCAGAAGCTAAGCAGGGTCAGCCCTGGTGAGTCCTTGGATGGGTGACCACCAAAGGAAGCCCAGGGTTGCTACGCAGAGGCAGGCCATGGCAAAACTACCGCCGAACGTCTCTTGCCTTGAAAACAGGGATGCCAGCCTCCAGGTGGGACCTGGGGATCTCCTGGAATCCCAGCTCATCTCCAGACGACAAGGTGGCCCTTCCGGTCGGTGGGTCCCAAACCCTCTAGGGCTGGGAAGGTCAACGTCTGTGCTTCTCTTGCAGGTGTGGTGGTGAAGCAAGTCCCCCGGAGCCTCTTGAGCGTGGTGGCTTTCTTGGCGCTCGTCAGGCCCGAGGAGTTGTGGCGGCCGGTGGAGAGGGAGCTCTCCAGGTGAGCGGGGCATGGAGGAAGGTTGAGGGATGACAAACCTTGAAAGGAGATTGATAAGAACCCTGCTGCTTCCTCCTCTTAGGTCCTGTCCTTGGGATTGCCTCGTGTTCGTGCAGATGTGGCCGGGCTCCTTCTGTGTGGTGAGTGAGAGAGATTTCACTACTCTGGGGCAATGCTCCCTCCAAGCTGTGGAAGTCCCGTGAGCAATGCTCCCTCTAAGCCGTGGAGTCCTGTGAGCAAAATCGTGCTTTGTGAGCTCCTGGCATTAAAGCTGTTAGCCAGCGATTTGGCTACCGCATAATTTAGTTTTCTCTGGAGCAATGTTCCCTCTAAGCTGTAGAGTCCTGTGAGCAAAAATTCTATTTTGTGAGCTACTGGCATTAAAATTGTGAGCAGGTGATTTGGCTACTGCATAAATTAGTGTGTTCTGGAGCCCTCTTTCCTGAGCCAAGACAAAAATCTGTGAGCCGGAGGCTTAAAAACTGTGAATTAGCTCACACTGACTCAGCTTAGAGCCGAGACAATAATGTGTGAGCCGAACAGGGGTTGTTTCCTGCAGGAGCGCACAGGAGCAGGGCTTCGGCAGTAAAGAGCCCAGGGGGCGGGCACATGCAACAAGCCCCGCCCCTGCTCCCAACAGCCCTCAGT